ATGTTGAAAAGGTATGGAGACAGGATGCGTCCCTGGCGTACACCCTTCCCAATTTTGAACCATGCAGTGTTAACCTGCTCTGTTCTGACTACTGCCTCTTGGTCCAAGTATAGGTTTCGCATTAGCACAATTAAATGTTCTGGGATTCCCATGTGAGAACCAGGAATTGATGGGACTGCTTTGTTTTTTCTAGGCCTTGCATGTTTTCTGCCTTTGACTGTGTATGGTCTTACCCTTTCTGTCACTCTTGATTAATAGAAAGTAATTGAGTTTAGTTTTATTTTTTGCAAAGGTCTACCTTTAGCAAATATTATTATGTTAAGATATTGAAACATTTCACAGAGGCCAAGAATAGGATTAATACTGGGTATTAGATAACTGGAAACAAAGCCTTCGGTTTTGTCAGGATCCTCTTGATGTTGACTGCTTTGTGCATATCTGCTTGATTTTTCCTTTCTCACGGAAGATAAGTTCATATCTATTAGGAGAGACTGGCTTCACTCTTTTAGCCCCAGGTTTAAACTCCTAGGAGAGGAACTAAATTTGACCTAGTTTGCCTGTGGTTCCCATTCTGTTTGAATGGATTTGGCTAGGAGTTGAGTGTCACGCAGTCAGTAACTGTTTATGAATCACTTGCTATATGCCCAGGACAATTCTGGATAGAGAGTCAAACAGAAGAGGTTTCTGCTTTTAGAAGGAACGCTGGATATTGTAGATATAGATGTGTGTAATTCTGCCTTTGGCCAATTCTTAACTTGGAACACTAAAAGGGAAGATCTGCCCTGGGGATATACTTGTTATAAGTCAAATCGTATAGTAAGCTTTGGGGCATGGTCAAGGGGAGAGGTTGAATTTCACCCAGTTCTATGAGGAGATTGCATTTTGATGAATTTGTGGACCTACATTGGACTGTTGATTGAAGAGATTCACATTTTAAATAAAGGCAAATGGAAAAGGAGAGAAGGAAAAAGAAGAAAGAAAAGGAAGGGACTATTTTTATAATTGGAACAAGCTCTTTGGCTTCTGGGGCAGAGTAAAATTGGTGCCCGTCAGACCCCACCTCCAAGACTTGAGTTTGATGTATGTTCACTCATATTGATCACTTGGATCCACAGGAGTTGAAGTAAGAGAAATACAACAACAGAAAAACAGCAATCTAAAAAAACAAAACAAAAAAAAAAAAAAAGAAAAACAGCAATCTGTGCTTGGACGTGTTCCTTCAGTGATGTCCACCTCGCATGCACAGATGCGTGGGTGAGCAGGGAAGGGTTGTCGGCTTAAAGAGCAAGGAGTCGTGAGAACCCCTGGCCTGTTGAACCCACGTGGGTGCAGAACTGAGTGAGGGGACTGACAGGTCTGGAGTGCAGGGGAAGTATGGATGTGTGAGCTTGCAGCTGATTCCCATTTAAATCTAGCCACAGATGATTGCTGATTTATTGACCAGAGCCCAACCAGATGAAGAAAGATGATCTCTGTGGTGAACTAGGGTTGATTGTTGCAACTTAGTGGCTTATTCTGGGCTGGACAATGCTTATGGATGCAGATGCTGAAAGTTTCCAAGTTGAACAGAAATTCCTTCAGAGAAAGGGGCAAGCCTGTTTCCTTACATCATGGTTTGATACGGATGGGTAAATAAGAAACTGGCTTT